GTGGCCTGCGCCAGCTCCCGCCGCTGCTGCTCTGCCCGCTGCTGCGCCAGCACCTGAGGGGACAGCAGAGGGTGGGACACGCCCGGGGGACACACCCGTGGGGGGGACACACCCGTGGGGGGGACACATTCCTGAGAGACCACACCCACTTTTGGACAAGCCCCACCCCCACAAACACCGCCCCACCTCACAGGAGAAGCCCCCCCCAAACTCCACCCACAGAGGCCACACCCCCAAAAGACCCCACCCACATTTAACTCCACCCCACATAAGCCCCACCCCAACACCTGTCACGCCCCTGTGGCCCCACCCCCAGTCAAGCTCCACCCCAGGCAAGGCCACACCCCCAACCACACCCTCCATTAGCCCCATACCCCACCCCCTGGACCACACCCACCCAAACCCCACCCCACAACCCCACCCTCCCTTAGCCCCACCCACCTCCTCCTGGATGGCCGGAGGCAGTGCTGCCAGGAACTCGGGGCTGACCTCGGTCAGGCCGGGATTGGCCACCACGGGCGGGGCGGGGCTGGCACTGGGCGGGGCCCGGGCAGGGGGGCGGATCCCCAGCTGGTTCTGCAGCACCTCCCGCCGGATGTCGTCGGGAAGGGCTGCCAGGAACGAGGGGTCCACGCCCTCCGGGAGGCTGATCCCTGGGGGGGGGAACACACATGTTGGGGACATCCCTGGGACCACCCAGGGACACCCCCCAAACCACCAGGAACGAGGGGTCCTCTCCCCCCAGGAGGGTGAGGACTGTGGGAGGACATAACTGGGGACACCCCTGGGGTGTCCCCAGGGACACTGGTCAGGAGGGTGACAAGGAGGGGACGGGGATACCAGGGGGGATGAGGAGAGAACAGGGGTGGATGGGGGTGTGGGGGGTGCCACTGATCAGCCAGGGGGTGATGGGTGGTACAGGGAGGAACAGGACCGTGATTGGGGGTGGGACAGGATGGGGACAGGGGGGCACGGGGGGGCTCAGGGGGTCCCACTGACCAGCCAGTGGATCCTCCTCCTCGCTGCTGGTGGACGGCAGCGGCTCCTCCAGGATCCCCCGCGAGTCGGCCCCCGAAATGGCCCCGGCGGAGTCCCGGGTGGACGAGCTCTCCGAGGACGAGGCGGGAGGGGAGCTGGGGGAGGTCACAGAGGGGGGGGGAATGTCAGTGGTGGGGAGGGGGGAACCCCCAAACCCCTGACCCCCCCATTTCCCACTGACAGCGACGGCTCTCACCTATCGTCGGGCGGCTGAGCGGCATCGGGGGGGGCGGGTGGGGGTCCCTGGGGGGTCCCGGGTGGGTTTTGGGGGGGCTGGGGGGGGGGGGGGAGCCCCCCCCGACTCTTCCAAGGTGCAGGAGGCCAAGCTCGAGGTGTCCATGGGGGACCCCTCCAGTTGGCTGCTCACGGCCGTCAGCGCGTCCGAGTCCTCGGCCCGCTCCGGGGACAGCGACGCTGGGAGGGGGGGACAGACGGACATGGAGCCCCCCCGGGTTCAGGGAGACACCCCCAGACCCGAGGAGACCTCTCTGGACTGAGAAACCCCCTAACAACGACAGGATCCCCCCAAAATCCCAAGGACTTACTGATGGTGGGGGCGGGTGACAGCTCCATCTGAGTGGCCTCGGCATCTTGGGGGGGTCGTCCTGGCCCCCCCTCCTCGTGCTCGGGGGGGTGGGGGGGGGGGGGGGGGATTTGGGGGGGCTCCGGGGGGGGGGTCTGGGGGGGTCGGCGTCGGTTCCAGCATCACCAGGGTCCGGTGGGGACCGGGAGGGGGGGTCTCTCCCGTCGTCCCGCTGTGTTCTGGGGTGAGGGGATGGGGGGGATACACGCAGGGATCAACTTTGGGGGCGGAGCCAGGAATGTGGGAGGCCCCCC